CTGTACAATTCAGTGTCCTTCTGTACAATTCAGTGACCCGAGACCCACTTTCCTGAATTGGAAACACTCCACACGGTCCGTGATTGGTCTGGGCAGCAAGAGGTGAACCTGCAATGGGAAGAGTGCCTTCCTATTTTGTGGCAAACTGCTTTTGGGGATACCTTTAATAAGAAGCCCACTTTTGGCTTGAGGAGAGGAAGGATGGTGCTGGGGGGAGAGACAGAATCAGTCATTAGTGTTTCCCGAGGAATGACTGGCATGAGGAAGCTTGTACTAAGTTGGTAACCATGCTATGAATCTGTTTTGGATGAAGGTGGCATAAGAATACAAAGGAAACAATAGCTGGGAAAAGAAAATGTACCCCTACAGTAATATTCATAGCAAAGGACCAGAATTGGCAAAAATCTCCTGTCAAGACCTTTCCAAAATTCTAAAGAGCAAGGATGTCAGTTTACAGACTAAGGTGTGCCTGCTTCAAGCCATGGTTTTTTTCACTTGGCTTCCTGTGCATCTGGAAGTTAAACAGCAAATAAAGATAAAGAAGAATTGACCCCTTTGAATTGTGGTGCTGGAGAAGAGTACTGAATGTCACGTGGACCGCCAAAAGAACAAACAATTATGTCTTGGAGGAAGGACAAATAGAGTGTTCTTTCGAGGCAAGGATGGTATAGCTTCTTCTGTTATCAGGGGGTAACCAGTCCTTGGAAAATATTATCATGTTGGGAAAGGTAGAGGGTCAGAGAAAGAGAGGAAGACCCTCAACACGATAGATTGACATACAGACTGTAAGAGTGGGCTCCAGCATCTCGGAGATGACAAGAATGGCGCAGGGTGGGGCATGGTTCAGATCTCTTGTTCCTAGGGTCACTAGGAGACATAGTCTTTCCCAGTCAAAACACCCTTGTTACCAGCAGTCAGAATATCCAGAGAGTTATGTCCTGGGAATGTCTGCTGTCAGGGACTGCTGCAAAGTATTGAAGAGCAATGATGTATTTTTTAAAAAAAATTATAATTGACGCCTTTGAGCTGTGGTGCTGGAGAAGAGTATTGAATGTACCATGGACTGCCAAGAAAACAAACAGATTCATCCTAGAGAGGGTTGAACCAGGCTACTCCTTGGAGGCAAAGATTCTGGGGCTTCGTCTGACATACTTTGGACGTGTTGCAAGGAGAGACAGGTCTTTGGAGAGGGACATCATGCTGGGTAGAGTAGAGGGACAGCGCAGGAGGGGAAGACCCTCTATGAGGTGGATTGATTCAGTGATTGGGGTAATCGGGATGGGTGTGTCAGAGGCAATGAGATTGGCACAGGATAGAGCACAGTTTAGGGCTATTGTACATAGGGTTGCTATGAGTTGCAAACGACTCGACGGCACATAACAACTACAACAACAACAACAATAAGTTTTTTTGCAAAATTTGAGTACATTGTTTTTCAGACGAGATTCTTCCAATTTCCCCCACCCCCCAGTGATGTGATTTTGAAAACGAAGCTGTGCCTGATTCAGACCATCCGTGGTCTTTTCCATCACTTGCTGTGCATCTGAGAGCTAACGATCAATACAGATGACCGCAGTAGAACTGATGCCTTTGGGTGGTGGTGTTAGAGAATGTACTGACTATACCACGGACTGCCAAAACCAAACCAAAACCCAGACCAGTATGTCATGGAAAACAGTGCAGCCAGAGGGCTCCTTTGAAGCAAGGATGACAAAGCTTCACCTCACATACTTTGGGCGTGTTGTTAGGAGAAGAGCCTCTTTCTTGGGAAGGGTCATCATGCTCGGAGAGGTAGAGGGTTGGGGAAAGAGAGGAAGACTCTCCACGAGGTAAGTTGATACAGTGACTGCATCAATGAATTCAGCTGTGTCAGAGATAACAAGGATGGCACAGACAGTTCAGAGTTCAGCTCTGTTGTTCATAGGGTCACAGTGAGTCGTACTGTGCTCAACAATACCTAACAACAACAAGAAAGACCCGGTAAGAGGTATGGACAGCAAGGCTCGCTGGAGCTTGGAGGGAGCAGGGAACCTGTATGCTGGAGTGTTCAAGGAGGGCTTCGTGGAGGAAGAGAGCTCACAGAAAAGAGGAGAAGCCATTCCACAGGTAAAGAGCTTGATACGGGAGTAAGTGAGAAGGGTTTACGAGGCAGGTCTGGACAGGAAGGAACTTTTTGTGTATAAAAACTGAGGTCTGCATTGAGTTTGGACAAGTGGCAGGATTTTAAAAATTTTTTAAAAATTAATTTTAATGAAAATTTGGAGAGATTTTGTATTTCCGTTGTTGCACTTTTCTCCCCTGCCAACCCTCCCCCCTCAGTACTCTCTTCTCTTTGAAAAGTAAAAGTTCCCTATTGTTTTAGAACCCCTCCCCCCAGGCCCACTCCACTATGCAGCCTTCTGGACTCCTGTCATGACAATAATACCTAATCACATATTCCTTTTAAACAGTTTTCTCCCTCATCAGTTTCAATGCAGTATACATTATTTATCTCATCTTTCTCAGTCTCCCTCCACCCCCTGATGTCAGTCCTGTTTTACAACAGTGGCACTATGTAGTATTTGTCCCTTTGTGTCTGAGATACTTCACTCAGCATAATGTCCTCCAGGGTCACCCATTTTGAATAATATTGCATGAGTTCCTTGTTTTTCAATGCAGCGTAGTATTCCATTGTGTGAATATACCATAGCTTCTCTATCCATTCATTTGTTGATGGGCACTTAGGTTGTTTCCAACTCCTTGCTGTTGTGAACAAAGCTGCGATAAACATGGGTGTGCATATATCTGCTTGGGTGGCAGTTATGGTCTCTTTGGGGTATATTAACAGTAGTGAAATTGCTGGGTCAAATGGTATCTCTATTAGCAACTTTTTGAGAAAGTGCCATACCACCTTCCATAGTGGTTGCACCATTTTACACTCCCACCAGTGAGTAAGGGTTCCAGTTTCTCCACAACCTCGCCAGTGTTTGTTTCTTGCTGTCTGTTTTGCTATTCTGACTGGGGAGAGATGATATCTCATAGTTGTTTTGATTTGCATCTCTCTTAGAGCTAGGGCTTTTGAACATTTCTTCATGTGCTTGTTGGCCATCTGAATGTCTTCTTTGGTGAAGTGTCTGTCCATATCCTGTGCCCATTTTCCAATTGTATTGTTTACCTTTATCTTGTTGTGATGGTGGCAGGGTTTTTGTTGTTATAATGTATTGTCAAGTTGGAATTCATAGCCGACCTGCCAGCAGGTTTTCAGAGGCTGTAAATAATGTGAGAGACTACACATTTTTCTCCCATTGAACAACTGGTGGATTAGAACTGCAAACCTTTGCATTGGGAACACAACTCCTTACCACTAAGCTACCGGAGCTCTCCAGTGGAGGGGTTGTTATTGTTGTTGAGTGCCACCGAGTTGAAAATGACTCATCGCTAACCCACCAGCAGATTTTCAGAGGCTGCAAATCTCATAGGAGGAGATTGCCCATCTTTCTCCCATAGAACAGCTGGTGGATCCAAACCACATACCTTTGGGTGGGCAGCACAATTCCTTACCACTAGGCCACCAGAGATACCTTAAATGTCCACTGCAGAGTCACCACTCTGTCCAAACTTTGTCCTCCCTGTCTACTGTGATTATGCTACAGGAAGCATAGAGAGTTCCAAGACTGGGGGTCACATCCTAGTGTCCTTGTTACTAGTTGATGTCTTTGGTTGGCTCATTTAAGAGCTCTGAGCCTCAGTCTCCTTATCTGTAAAATGGTGCTAAAAGGTGATAGTGGTACCTGCCTTGGTGGGTATTTGTTGTAAGAAATTGCAAGTCCGTTTAGGCAGAAGTGGTAGGCACACCTTGCATTTCTCCTCTCTCCTTTCTGAGGGAGCAGAGACTGTTTCAGAGGCCAGTGCTCGATGTCTATGTGGGTGTCTGGGGAGGTGGCTCTGGTCTCCATGGCACTGTGCTTTAGTTGCCAATATCAATGTCCCAAACTCGAGAGGAGCCAGGCTTTGCCCTCTTTAGCCTACAGAGGCATTTTGTCTGTCAGGGACACTGGTCCTGGGGAGAGAGCCCATCCCAGTGACCTGAGACCTCATAGCATTCTCTTCCTCTGTCCACAGCCCGTCAACCAGGAGAGCGCCCAGAAGCATGTAGTGGACACGGTGAGTGACAGCAGATGTGGTGGGGTGGGGACAGCAGCGTGACCAAGGGTGGCGAGGCCGGAAGACAGAAGATGGATTTGGGGAAAGTGAAGAGATAACGTTTGGGGAAATCCTGCTCCAGTAGATTAAGGGAACTTGAAGAGAAATGAGTGACGTTGGGAGCTGAGCATCTGGCCGTCCCTGTGTGTTTGGAAGTGAGTTGCTGGGGAAGTAGGCAGGCGGATGAGTGGCCGCTGAGAGGAGAGAAGGCAGTGGGGAAGAGCGCTTCCTTGTTAAATGTGTACACGGCGAAAGAGCCCAGCAGAGTCATCCAGTCTTTCTGATCTGGTCTGAGACGGGACAGTTCCTAGAGGCTGCAAGGAAGAGGAAGAGAGTAGGCAGGTCTCGAAGTAGAGAAACTTGGTGAGCAGCTTAGAGGCATCTCTGGCATTAGCTGGCATACAGTCGTGGTGTATAGTTGGAGGTCTCGGGTTCAAATCTTGACTCCATCAAGGTTCTGGTTGTGTAACTGTGGGCAAGTTACAAGTCTGATTTCACGTCAGCTTTGCAAAAGGCTCCCAATTTCTCATCTGCAAAATGGGAATAATCTCTCTCATTCCCATTTTCTCATCTGCAAGATGGGAATAATAATTCTCTCTCCCAGGAGTGGTTGCAAGACACAAGTGGGAGGGTCTTCACGCATAAGGGAGTGTTAAACAAACACCGGCCCCTCCCGAGTTTCTCTCTGGCAGTGCTCCCTCCCAAGCCCTCCTCCCACAAGTCCAGCGGTTGAGAAACCTGGCTGCCCTTTGCTTTCCCTGACGCCCCTCACGAGCTGCCTTTTCTCTTCCTGTCTGTAGGAAGGAGCCTTCCGGGGTGGAAACACACGGAAAAGCCTTGAAGAAGACGTAAGTATGGAGGCATGGGATGAGATAGGAGGTGGTTGAATCCCAGCCTTGCCTGGTTTGGTGGGGGCCTTCTTTCTAGAAGAAATGATGAGCGGGCCCCCTCAGCATAGCCATGGCCCCCAGTAAGCTGAGTCTTGAGAGCATCTGCCCAACCATTTTGCCAGACTTCAGTGCTCTTGGGTGAGGAGGATGGCAGAGGCATTTGGGCTGAATGAGGCCTGGGGTGGTGGTGGTGAACAATCTCAGACGGAATACTGAAAATAGGCAAGACTCAGAGTGATGGGGGTGGGAGGCGACAACTGAGGTTGGACATGAAGGACTCCCGCTCTTAGAGGGTCATTGTCCTAAGGGAAAGTGAGGTTTGTTTCTTTAGAGAAGAGTCTTTGAAACGAGGAAGATCCTCTGTGTGCCTTCAAAGCCACAGATTCAGGAAGAAGCTGGAAGTTGACCTTGTCCATCTTCCGAGACTCCTCATTCTCGGTGAGGAGCAGTTGGGCCAGTTCCTCAGTTCCTTGAATGCAGGGACCCAGAGCAGGGCAGTGTGGCTTAGCTAGGGCCCTTTTTGACCAGAGATGGCATCTGGCTTGTCTTCATGCCCCCGGGGCAGACCCTCAACAGAGGCCTCTCTCCTATGGCTTCCCTTCCCTCCCTGAGGGCCTGCCCCCACGCTGGCCTCTCCACCCGCTGCCCAGATCTCCAGAGGAACAGGGAGTGGTTTTGGCGGTTGGCACAGGGGGAGCTGTTGATGGCATGAGGCCCTATCATCTGACAGCTGCCTGACCCACTGTGGGGGGGCCTGGAGGGCGGTGCTGGGGGCAGAAGGAGGAGGCCACTCTTGGAGATAGCCACACACCAAGGGGGAGCCAGCTACCATTGCCACATTGCCCTGGGGCAGCCTACTGGCCCGGACCATAGAGTGGAGGCTTTGGAGGGCCACCCAGAGGCCCTTCAGGAGCATGGCCCTCCAGGTAGCGAGGACGGCCTTGTGTAAGGTATGTGTGGGTGCCTAAGGGCATGGGGTTCTGTGCTGGGGCAAGCTCCAGCTCTGGGTGTGTGAGCTTTCTGGGGCTGGGGTGCATGAGGCCACATTGTTCACGGGTACATACTACTGACGATGAAATAGCTTAATGCATGTGAAGCATATAATATGTGCTCAATAAACATTAGCTGCTCTCTTTACTGTTATTTTCTCTAAGGGCCAGAAACCGAACCTGGTATTTCTAGATCCTTTGGCAGCTCACTATGAGATGCTGTGGCGCCGTTTTATAGGCAAGAAATAAAAGGCTCCGAGCAGCCAATGACTCCCAGAACATTTTCTTCATCCTTTCCCTGGCTTGCTGTTTGAACCTGGTGGGATCCAGGATTTCTGGCCCTTGGCAGGGGGGCGAGGGAGACTGTCTATGAGCCAAGCTCATTTGTCAGTGGTCTGAGCTTGCTTATAAGCCAAGTTTAAGAGCTACAGCTCTGTACTTCCCCAGCCTGGGCCAGACTGAGCTTGTAAGCAGGAGCTACAGCAGGAGAGAGTGAAGTTAGACATCATGAAGAACTTTTTGACTGTGAGGGTGTGTATGACCTTGGTTTTGGAAAAGAGGTGATCTTTAGTCAGGACTGGAGGGTTCTTTTAAAAGAACATTTTATTAATCTAGAAGGGGTGTGTGTGTGTGTGTGTGTGTGTGTGTGTGTGTGTAGTAGTAGTAGTAGTTGGTTGGGATGGGCAAGGGTACTTGGTGTCTTGCCTGAATTTCAGAGGAGAGATGAGATGAGTTTTGGTCTAGTTAGTCTAGTTAAGGAATCACATAAAGCCGATTCAGGATGGCCTGCATATCTATTGCAAAGTTGAAAAACCTCTTTCAGCTTTTTAGATGTGTGTCAAGATGGGCTGGAGTGACCCCAGGTCGCCTGAGCTGGTCCTCCGCTCCAGTCTGTGTCCTTCCCTCCGGCCTGTTCAAAGCACTGTGGAGCAGACAGGGCTGCTGCAGTGATAATAATGTGCCTGTTTGTTGCAATGTTTTCCTGTCTCTGGCCCATGGCCAGGGCCTCACAGGGCTGGAGGGGTTATTTTCCGTACGTGGAGTTGGTGTGGCCTGGAGTTTGCGAATGGTGTACCGTGTCGCACTTTGTTTTGGAAAAATCCAGACTAGTGGGCAGGAAGGGGAGAGGAAGAGGTGTGGCCGGAGGGAATGGGGAGCTGGGGTCAGCCACAGCCCCCGGAGGAGATGGTGGAATGGGGTGGGGTCCTTGACGTAGACTGCTTCCCCCTCTCTCCTTCTCAGGCTGCCTGGTGTTACCCCTGGTGTTGGCTTACAGACCCTCCTCCCAACTGTGCCCCCTGGGGACTGAGGCTCAGGAAATGGCTTTTCTTCTGGTGCAGAGCTGTGGTGTTTGGTCTGTGGACCTCAGAGGAAGGCAGGACGTTATCCACACAGGCACTGTGCCAGGCCTACCCTGCCCAAGTTCTAGTGCTTCTGTTTCTTGCTACATGGTGGGAGAAAGGGATGGATAGTGGAGCATGGGGTCAAGGGCCTTGAGCACCCTAGAAAGAATCTCAATGGAGTCCAGCTGCCTACCCCTGAGTGAGGACCAAGCAAAAAAGCAGTGGCTGGATCTGGTGCTGGAGTGGTGAGAATAGGGCCAAGGAGGGACTTTGCTGAGAGTGGTGGGCGTTTGCGGGCATCTGTGGAATCTCCTTCCCTGGGCATCCTTTCAGAAAAGGAGACTGTGTTTTGACGAGGAGGTGAAGGGAGGGTTCTGCTTGGGGTCTGGGAGCTGGACCAAGACTCCTATCGTTGATCTCTGCGGTGGGAAGAGTGAGAAGTTCAAAGCCATGTGGGTAAGGGCTTTCCTCCAGAGCTGCAGAGAGACAGAGTGGGCGGAGATGGAGCTGAGGCCCTGGATGATTCAAATGGTTACACCTCGACTGCTAATCGAGAGGTTGGAGGTTCAAATCCAAGAGGATGAAATACATAAGGATTCCTGGGGACCATTGGGTGTCTGTCTGTAGTCCCCAGGAATTATGGTCAAATCTTTGGCAACTGTCATTTTTAATAGCTAGAAGAGAGGCTTTAGTTTTGTTCATGAAGAAAAGTCTTTAAAGTACTGCTTGTAAAGCCGTCTAGTAATTTCCCCTGGAGGCTCTAAGTGGAGGAGAAGGAGGAGGTGATGTGAGCAGGGCCTTTGAATTTTACACATGCAGAAATGAGGCACAGTGGTTACTTCTCACATCACATCTGCTCCTGGTTATTTCCCCCATTAGCATATCAGCTCTGTGCTCAGGGACTTGGGGGCCTCTGTTCTCTGGTTCCTGGAAGGGTGCTTGGCATATAGGAGGTCCCTCTCGATGGTCATTTCAACGAGTGAGGAGACAAACCCGGTGGAGGAGAGAGAGAGAGAGATGCTGGGACTTCGCCACTCTCTCCTCCCCATCATAAGAAAGGCATGCACGATGCTGCAGGCTTTCCAGGCTCCTACCACGCCTCCGGAGTGAGAACACCACAGTGTCTGGGACCATTGGCTCACGTGTAGTTTGTTTGACCACACATCCACCAGCCCCATTCACTGTCCTCTAAGGCTGCCCTGGGGTCCTGTGCACACCAACACACGGACGTGTCCCATCCCGCCCGTCTGCTCACTGCCAGCAAGTATCACATGCCCCCAAACTAGAAAACAGGAAGCCCTGTCAGTTCGAGGGCAGCCCAGTGATTCATCAGGTCCAGCTGTTGGTCCCCCTCCTTTGCAGCGAGTCACTGTCCAGGAAGCTCCCTCCTCCCAGTCCCCTGTCAACCTGACGGAGCCAAGGGGTGGTGGACTTTGCCTTTCTCACCTTTGAGGTGGCATGGCCAGGCTCTGCGGAGGCCAAGCTTTTATTTATCTTCCTGGCTCTTTGAGGTGGGGTGGCAGAGGAATGTGGTGTGGTGTAATGTTTGGAAGGAGGAGCTGGAGAAACAGGAGCCAGACTGCTCCCCCTGCACCTTAGATGGCTCCCCAACTTCCTTGGCTCCCCCGTTCCTACGTCAAGTCCATTTCAACATGTCCCATTGTCTCCGTCCACATCCCTGTGCCTGGACCCATTCTCCTGGCCGTACTTGGCCCCACTGCTGCTGCTGGTCTTGGCTTTAGTTGTGGCTTCCAGTTGTTCAAAGCAGCTGTGGTGGCCTCGGCTGCAAATGACTTTGGATCAGCAGCAGATGAAACCCCAGGGGCTATTTATAGCAGGGTGGCCCCGAGGCCAGAGCAGGGGTTCAGCCTGGGGAGGCTCAATGACTCCTCATCAGGGCCCAGGGAGGGGAGATGGATGAAGTGTTGGGTTTCGGCATGCCTCTGGGTGGGGAGTTTTGGAACAGCCCGGTTTGGGGCTTGAAAACCAAACACAGCTCCTCCTAGCCTTCCCCCACCCCCTGGCCTGACTCATGCAAACCCAAGTCCTTGGGGCCACAGGAGCTGTGGACGTGGGAATCTTTCCTCCCTGATAGCCCCACTTGGCGGTGTTCTCCCACCGCCTGCTGATGTGGTTCCGCGAGGCCAGGGAAGAAGCAGGCAGAGAGTGGCCACAGCTCTCTGAGAAGGCTAGATGGAGAGCCTCCCGCTTGCTGGAGCTGCCCTGATCTTGGGGGCAGCGGGGAGCTGGACCCGGAGCCCACCCACCCCACTTTGTAGGAACTGCAGGGCCAGGGATGAAGGGAGCTGCTTGCTGCTCCGGGCCCTGATAGTCAATTCCCAAGTCTGTTCCTGAGTCGTGCTTGGGTGACTTCCTGGGTAGTTGGCGGTAAGTCGCTCCATGCCTCAGCTTCTCCGCTCTGGCCAGGCATGAGTGCTGTCTCCTCTGAGAGCCCCTGGGAGTTGGTGCTTGATGCAGACTGCTTTCTGGGGGGCACAGGAGTGTCTGGAAGTGCTGGTGGACCCAGAGGCTCAAGGCATCGCGTGAGCTGGACAGCAGGGTATGTGGCTGCTGAGAGAGGCAGGGCTTTTGATTTCTGAAGATAATATTTGGTCCATATCTGTAACTACCTGCTCTTCTGTATGTATTTGATGTGATAATAACAACAATAATTACGGCAGCCTTGTAGCGTCATTTATAGGTGTGGTCAGGTCCCTGGGTGGGGTAGATGGGTAATGTTCTCAGCTGCTGACCAGAGACGAGTCCTTCCCTAAACCAGCCATTGAGAGCCCTGCGGAGCACAGTTCTTGTCTGATGCACATGAGGTCCGTGTGAGGTGGAGCAGATTTGAAGGCAGTGGGGCTTTATATGTCAGGCATTATCTAAAGGGCCTTCGGTGTGTACCCTTTAATCCCATGAGGTTTCCCCGTTTTGCACGTAACATTACTGAACCCCAGAGAGTGTCCAGACTACAGTCTGTTTCCTTCTCCTTTGGCCACCGTTGTCTGGCTGCCTCAGAGTGTTAAGGGGCCCTGAGTGGGTCAAGAACTTTGAGGGAGTCACTCCACCTAATTCTGTACAGACTTGCAGCCCTGCAAATGGGATTGGATGAGAGGGTGGTGGGTCCCTCGGAGCCATTGCTACTTGATGCCAAGGCCCTGTCATGGTTCATGTGGTCCATGGCTGGCTGTTCTCTTTAATTTCTGATGGAACAGCTTGATAAGTGTGCAGGATGATTTTGGTTGGACGCAGGCAGTTCCGGGCCTAGACTAGAAGCGTGGTAGGCTAGAAGCGCGCTGTTCTCCCATCTTCTCTTCTGTGGGTGCCGTCGCTGTCTCCACTTGGGGTGCTATTATAAAAGTATAAGGGGATCAGTGTTAACGTATTTCAGTCACTCAGTAGCTATTCACGGAAGGAGTATTTGGTGCAGATGGCCCAGCCCAGATTTAGTTCATTCCAGGTATTTGGGGTTTTCTTCAGGTCCAGGATGGGAAGCCCCATCCCTGGGCTCGCCTGCAGGTGGGCATGCTCACGCAGACTGGCATTGTTCGTGACTTTGGGTTGCTCAGCCACCAGGATCTCAGGGGACCTGGGCTAGGATGCTGGCAGAGAAGGAAGAGGATCTGAGTTTGGCCGTGCCCCGGATGCCACCAGGGACAGATCTTGGCTACTCATGTCCTTCTGCCCTGCCTGCCCCTCCATAATTCTGCTTTTCTTGTCTCTTTCTCCAGGGCTCCACTAGAGTCACTCCGAGTGTCCAGTCCCATCCTCTGCCCGTCAGGTACGCCTGGAGCCCAGTGGGGAGGGGGAAGGGCTACAGACCGTGAAGGTGCCATGGGTGTGTCCTTCGTGTCTTGCCTCTGGACCCCGGAGACTGCTGTAAAGGTCCTGGGAGGGACCACGGGTGACTGAGACAGACAGAGTGACAGGAGGCAGCTCGTGGTCACTGGGAGATATCAGGTTCTCAGTTTTCACTCTTAACCTTGAACTAGATTTGTTATTTGTTTGCATGATCTCGTTTAGGCCCGACACCTCAAGGTAAGTCTTTTATTGTCATTTGGTCCATGAAGAAGCTGAATTCCAGATACGTGAGGTGACTTGTGGAAGGCAAGTCAACCATCAGGAGACTGACGAGGATTGGCTAATGTTGGGAGAGTCGCTTATAGAAGGAAAGTGAGGCAAACGTGGGGGATGGCAGCAGAGCTCCGTGGCTCGCTGTGGCAGCGTCTACCCCCTGCCTCGTCGTCTTGATTCAGTGGCTTCGGTCCCTGTTCTCTCTTTACCCCCTGTTTCCCAAGGTAGGTGAGAATGCCAGCTTCATCTGGCCATGGGGGAAAGGAGCCCCAGCTGAAAAGGGTCAGGTCTGTAGCTGCCCTTGGACTCCTTACCAGCATCCTACAGACCTGCAGGTGGCCGGCACTTTGGAGGGTCCCTAACCTGTCCTGTCTGAGAATTTACTCTTAGAGGCTGGTAGTTGGCAGATGTATTATCAAGACTGTCCAGGTGGTGGTGCTGCTCTGCCTGCACATTCTCCTTAATTTGTCTCAGACTTTGGGCATGTTGCTATAGAGATTATTCCTTGAAGAGGGACATCGTGCTTGGAAAGGTGGCAGGATGGTGAAGGAGAGGAAGAGCCTCAACCAGATGGACAAAGTGACTGCAGCAATGAACTTGAGGTTGTCAGAGATTGTGAGGCCGGCACAGGGAGGGACAGGTTCATATCTGTTGTTTGTAGGGTCACTCTGAGTCCTACTTGTCTCAACTCCGCCTAACAACAACGACAATCACCCTGGGTAGGGCAGGGCCTCAAGTGCATGTGGTCTGATTCACCCTCTTCACCACCCTCTTTTGCTGTCCTCTCTGCATCATGCTGTCCCTTCTGTGATGTGCGAGAGCCTGGAAACATGAGGAACTCAGCTTGCAAATTTTTCCAACACTCTAGTGTTTTCTTTGAAGCCCAGACAAAGAGATTTTGGAAGATGAGGGTGGATACTTAGAGTTAGCTGGTGGCTCTGACAAGCACAGATGGCATGGGGATCTCTGGAGCTGCCTGCACAGTGCCCTCTTGGTTCCTTGTTCTAGCCCTTAGAAGCCGGATGCACTGCCAAGAGGCAGCCCTGCTAGGGTGGGATCTGCCAGTCCTAGGGAGAGAGCCCGAGAACAAAGGGCAGAGGCCTGGAGGGGACCTGCCCCCAGCGAGGGCTGGAATGCGCTACGGGCTGCTTTACCTGGGACTCAAGTAAGCCTGTCCCCTGAGCAGCCAGGGTCCCTCAGTCACGCCACAGCCTCAGAGAGGGGGTTGGGAGGTTGGCAGAAGGTTCCAGGATGCTGGAGAGTAACCAGCATAGGCTTCCTTCCTCTTCCAGAGCAGCCGGCCTCCTGGAGACGTGCGCCTGGCAAGGCAGCCACGGTGTGTTGGGAGGCCGAGCCTGACTGCTGGGTTACTGGTCACTTCTGATCTTGGCCCTGACCTCTCGACCCCTAGGCTAAAAGTCTGGATGGACGAGAATCTGTAATTGCTACGGCCTCTGGCTCTGAGTCACTGCCATCCCTGCCCACTCAGCTCTCTTGATGTTCCCAGGCTGGCCAGCTGGTGGCACTGGCCTTGCCAGGAAATCTTCACCCTTGGTAGTGGTCAGCAGGCAGCCCAGCAGCCTGGGGTCACACAAGGCATGTTGGGGTACAGGTGTGCCCTGGAGGGCTGACTTCTGATTTCTCTCCTCCCCACCCCCTGTGTCCTCAGAAGCATGAGTGTGAGCCAGACCATGGAGGACAGCTGTGAGCTGGACCTGGTGTATATCACAGAGCGGATCATCGCCGTCTCCTTCCCGAGCACGGCCAACGAGGAGAACTTCCGGAGCAACCTCCGCGAGGTGGCCCAGATGCTCAAGTCCAAACATGGAGGCAACTACTTGGTGAGGGGGGAAATTCCAGCGTATTGTCCCCTCTGTCCCTCTGACACTGTCCCTTTGTCCTTTTCATCTGCTTGTCCTCTCTTCACTGCTGGCTACCTGTTCATTGTCCCAAAGTTTGTTTGTGCTGCTTTAACTAAAGTACCTCAAATCAAGTGGCTTATAAAACAGAAACTTACGGTCTTACCATTTTGAAGGCTGGAAACGTGAGGTCGTGAGGTCAGCCATGACGATTCCTTCTGAGGAAAAATATGTTCCAGGCTTCTCCCCCGGCTTCTGCTGGCAGCTGGCGATCCTTGGAGTTCTTGGCTTAGAGGCCATTCCATTCTCTTCTTCCATCTTCATGTAGCCTTCTTCCTTCTGTGTCTGTCCATTTTTCTGTCACTTATCCTTTCTATAAGAACACACGTTCAGCTTGAACTCCTACGCTGGTAGGACCTCATGTTAATGGATATCGTCTTCAAAGACCTTGTTTCCAAAGATAGGGACACACTTACTGGGGGTTAGGCCTGCATCTTTTAGAGACACATGATTCTGTCCACAACCCCTAGCTTTTGTTATTCTGTCCTTCACACTGGGCATCTCTTGTGGTCTGAATCTTTGCTCCCTCTTCAGCCTCACAATGTGATAAGCAATGTCTCTGTGATTGGAAAATCATCTCTGGAACCCAAATTGTGTGCCTAGAAGTGTACTTAAGAGAAAGTGTTGACCAGGAGAAGAGAATCTCACCTCTCTTGTCATGAGCGCTTGCTGTACGAGGCCCTGTCTGCGTGCTCTCTCTGTGTGTGGCCTCCAGAGAACCCTCAGAAAGCAGCTGTGTACTGGAGTTCAGAGCCATGGGGCTGTTTGCCGCAAGTCACAGGATCGGGTAGTGGCAGAGCTGGCACGATGTCAGGGCCTCTGACTAGTTTCCGGGAAATCGAGGCAATGTTTCTCATAAAGGACCTTAGATGGTTGGCATCCCGTGTGACACTTGGGCCAGCGGAGTCACCTCTGAGTGGAGAGTGGATGAGGGTTACTGGCACTGGTCCCCTCTGTTGTTGGAATAATTGGCCCGAGGGGTTGGAATGATCCTGGACTCCAAGAGCCACAAGGACTGAATCTGTGCAACCTTGAGAGGCTGTCTGGCACCTGAGTGCAGTCGGATGGAGGCAGCTGTATTTTGTTTCCTGTGGCTGCTGTGACAAATTACCACAGGCATGCTGGCTTCAAAAAAGAGAAATTTGTTCTCTGAGAGTTCTGGACTGTAAAAGTTTGAACTAAGGTGTTGGCAGGGCCAAACCCCACTAGAGAATCTGAGGAAAGACATTTCTATCTGTGTACAATGTCTTCTGTTTGTATGAAGACCCCCCCAGTCATTGGATTTAGGATTCACTGTAAATCGAGGGTGATTTAATCTCAAGATCTTGAACTAATTACATCTGCAAAAATCTCATTTTCTAGAAAGATCCCATTCTGAGAATTCAGGTGGACATGGGTTGTGGGGCACACTGTCTAAACCACTTCATGCTTTGGGCATGTTGTTAAGAGGGGCTGGTCTTTGGAAGGGGACATGTATTAGGAAAGGTGGACAGTGAGAGAAAGAAAGGAAGACTCTCAAGAAATGGTTCAACACAGTGGCTGCAACAGTGAACTTGACTGTATCAAAGGTGGATGGTACAGGGTAGGGAAGGTGTAGAGCTGTTATTTATATGGTTGCAGTGAGTTACAGGTGACTCGATGACACTCAACAACAACAACATCTCTAACCAACTAAGCTTTAGTGGCTTAGGGATAGGAACTGTGCTGCCATATGGGCTTTGACTCCAGCAGCTGCTCCACAGCAGTAAGATGGACAGTCTCCTCCCATGCAGTCTATAGCCTCCATAAACTGCAGGAGGGCCAGCTAGAAGTTGATTCCAACTTGATGGCACCAAATAACAGCAGCAGATCTAACCACTGCAGAACCCCATCTGTCAACGGTGTTGGGACATTTTTAAGAGCCTAACTTTTAACCAAAGATGGGTGATTTTAATCCATGGCCCTCAGGCCTGGTTTTAATTGTTTTTGGTCAAACATTCTTCTAATTGGTTTAGTACTGGTCTGTCTGTTTGCTGTACAGAGGTAACTCGTGGTTGCTTTGAAGCTGAACACTGTGACATTGATGTGCCAAATGCGATAATGGTTACCTGTGGTGGACAGTGTTGGGTGGAGCTTCCCGATTAAAACAAGCTTGGAAACAGGAGTGGCATCCACTTCTGAAACAGCTTGCCTCTGGAAACCCTATGAACTTGGAGAAACGAAGATAGTTATACAAGTGTTCAGGTCTGTCATTCATAAGGTAGCTATGACTATGTTGTCTATGACTCGACAGCACTTAACAACAACAGCAGCAGCTTTTAACATTAGAAAATCCTAAGCCCAAATTCAGGCTCTGCTCTTAGTAATCATATGATATTGGGCACTTCAAACTAAGTTTCCCGTCTGTCAAATGGGTATAGTATCACTTACTGCCTCTTACAGTTGTGAGAATGAAGCCAGCTATCTAGATACAAAATTCTTAGCACTAGGCTGGCAGGTGGTGAACGTTCATTGAATTATAACCATGGCTAGCGTAATAATGTTCCCTCTAGGGGTATGTCAGTGAACTAGAAGCATCTTGGATGCTTCCAGTTTTGAGGAGTCTGGTCTCCTGTGGGTCTCTGTGTGATACTGCCCTCCCACACCAGATGGCGCTCTCTCTGTGGCTGTGGAGCAAAGTCCTTGTTCCTGTCGCATCGATAGGCAAAGCCTTCCTTGAAGACCTTTGTATGTCTTGGTCTTCTCCAGTGCCAAGTGTTTTCTAGCACAGGGATCCAGGTCGAAAAGGATGCCCCCCATTCCTAGTGATTATTTCATGTTTGTACTGAGGTCCTCTCTTGGCAGGTGGCTTTCTTACCCATTAATGTTTAGTGAGAAGAAAGACGTGCCAGGCCACACCCTGAGGACACTCCTCCTACATCTAATCAGGGCTGTGTTACATTCCGCCCTTAATCCTCCTGCAACTATTTGGTCAGATCTTGAGGATCGTACATAGCTTCCACATTATATCATTGGGTAGAGATTGAGATTGCTAACAGCTTTAGTTTGCTTGGCTCCACAATCAACACTCTTGGTACCAGCAGCCAGGAAATTAAAAGACAAATTGAATTGGGAAAGTCTGCTGTCAGAGACCTCTCTAAAGTGCTGAAGAGCAACGATGACAGTCTGGATACTAAGGTGCGCCTGATCCAGGCCATAGTCTTTGCAATTTCTTGCTCTGCATCAGAAAGCTGGACAGGGACTAGAGATGATAGAAGAGTTGATGCCTTTGAGCTGTGTTGCTGGAGAAGAGTATTGAATGTACCATGGACTGCTAGGAGAACAAACAGGCTCGTAGAGGCAAGGATTCTGAAGCTTCTGTCTGACCCACTTTGGACATGTTGCTAGAAGGGACCAATCCTTAGAGAGGGATATCATGCTTAGGAGGGTAGAGGGACAGTGCAAGACAGAAAGACCCTGGATGAAATAGATTGATTCAGTTACTGGGGTAGTGGGTATGTCAGAGACAGTAAGATTGGCACAGGATAGAGCAGGGTTTAGAACGATACATAGAGTTACTATGAGTCACAGGCAACTTGATGGCACATAACAAAAACAACATAAGTATTTTGAAGGGACACAATTTAATCCATGGCAACCAGGCAGCTAGCTATGAATAGAGCTGGGTGGGGGTGCAGAGTCCTGGAGGCTTTGCTTGAAAGTAAACTCACTGCTGTCAACTTGGAACTGTTGTTGGGTTTCTGAGGCTGTGAATTGCATGGGAGGAGACTGCCCGTCTTTCTCCCACAGAGCTGCTGGTGGATTTGAACCACCAAGACCTGTGATCTTTGGGTTAGTGAACTCCCTTCAGGCTGTCGCACCTGAGCGCCTTCCTGCGGAAATAGAGTCAGCAGTTCTGTTCACTGGGAAATTCTTAAGGGGGTGAGGTTGTGGAGCTCCTGAGGGTATGATTGGGTTTCCGAGGGAATCTTTGGCAGAGGATGTCAGAAAACCCCACCCAGAATGGCTTGCTCCTTTTCATGGAGAGTATCTGACCTCAGAGAAGCTATATCTTGTATAGATGTTGTTTTTGTTGTTGTTATATGCTGTCGAGTCGCTTGCGACTCATAGTGACCCTATGTACAACAGCCCTAAACTCTGCTCTGTCCTGTGCCAATCGCACTGTCTCTGACACACCCATTCTGATTTCCCCAGTCACTGAATCAATCCACCTCATAGAGGGTCTTCCCCTCTTGCGCTGTCCCTCCACCCTCCCAAGCATGATGGCCCTCTTCAAGGACTGGTCTCTCCTCACAGCATGTCCAAAGTATGTCAGACGGAGCTCTGGTGGCCTAGTGGCAAGAAGCTGCACTGCAATCCTTGTATAGAAGGATGTTCTAAAGTCATCATGGGAGGGGAGACTCAGAGATTGATGGTCTGAATGGTTATAATTTAGCACCAGTTGTGCTGAGATGCCACTTTGGAAGTGGCACGTCGAGCCGGAAGCTAGTTCTACCTTCTTCTCGATGTCAGTTCAAGACATTGGTCCCTGATGGGAATGTTGACCATATATTTTTCTTGCTCACTCTCTTTTTCTGAGAACTTACAGATGAGTTCCTGTATGTCAATACATGTCTGATGGAATGCCACTATATTTTTAAGTATGGATAGAACTTCCATTGAGTGAGAGAAATGGGGGTTGGGAAGAGAGAATGAATGGAGATGGACTGGTGTCCAGGTAGATCATGGTCGGCACATGACTCAGACCCCTGGCTCTGTCAGGTCCATCAGCGAAGAAGACCCTTTAGAGGAAATTGGGGATGACACCAGGTTCCCCAGTATGATCCAGTAGGTTCCTTGCCATGACAATCCCTCTCTCCTCAACCCTTCTCATCCATGATCTCTCTCTTTTTCTTCTAGCTTTTCAACCTCTCTGAGCAGAGACCTGACATCACGAAGCTTCACACCAAGGTGAACAGTGGAGAGAACAGGGCTGGTGATGCCCACTGGCGGGAGGGGGCACGCTAGACTCTTATGAGGAGTTCTATGACAGTATGAAAGGTCAATTCAAAGTTCAGAACCGTCTTGCATTTGGCAAATGGAAAAAATTTGTTTCTTGTTTTCATCGTACAAATTACTCAGAGCAAAGCTGGATGCAGTCATTTCACATCAGGCTTGTGCCTCTGGGGGCCCATGGAACCTCTAGGGTAAAACAGGACTTGGGAGAGTGTTTGCTTTCCTGAGAAGTGTCTTGGGTTGAAAGGGCTGGGAATGGTTGCTTAGATGTTCCTACTGTGTTTGCTCAGTGGGTCTTGAGTAGCTTTGCCTTCACTGTTGGCCCCTGTGGCCCGCCACAGTGGAACTAAGGGCAGGCAGCCGACTTCCCTGGGCCTCGGCTTGTGCCTCTCAAAGTGGCCCAGCTCACCAGAAGTGCTCTCAGTCCTTCACAGCAGAAATTCTCCTTAACTTTAAAGTTCTGTGATTTTGGTAAAGTTTGGAGAAGCCTGAGCCTGTTACTCAGATCTACCCACCTGTCCTTTGGGCTTCATTTGGCTGCTTGTAAAACTCGCATTTATTGTAGAAATAATGATGGCCTATGTGTCCAGGTCTGGATAAGACCACAGCCATCGTGGGGCTCTTTGGAAGTCCTGCCCTGGCCCTGAGCCAGGTGGAGAAGGAGGACTTGAGGGCAAAGTTGGGGTCCCTCAGCACACTTTGAGGTCAAGTTAAACTACAAGAGACCTTGAAGTTACTGTCTCCAAGCCCTTATTTGACTCACAGACAAGGAAACGGCGGCTCAGAGAGGGGTTGTGGCTTGTCTGAGCCTCTACAGTGAGTTGACATCAGAACTGAAACCTGAGTCCCATCATCTCTGCTCTGGGGCTGATGGCACAGGGGCAGGGCCAGGGCCAGGGCCAGGGCCAGGCTGGGCCACTGCTGGTGGTATCCTCCGTTCCGCACGTGCTGTGTGTGCTGCTCTCTCTGCCCTGGCTGGCTCTCCTGGGCTCCCGCCTGCCTCTCACTTGTGGCTTGGACCCTAGGTGCTGGAATTTGGCTGGCCGGACCTGCACACACCTGCCCTGGAAAAGATCTGCAGTGTATGCAAGGCCATGGAGACTTGGCTTAACGCTGACCCCCACAATGTCGTCGTGCTCCACAACAAGGTGGGAGCAAAGCTCCGTGTGCGTGCGTGAGCGCGTGTGCACAAGCACGCATGGGACCTTGAAGGGGTCCCGCCATGACTATGTCTACGTGTCTGTGTCTCCCTTCTGCTGTATGCAAATCCATCTGTATCTATTTGTCTTTTTAGGTGATGCTAAATTCTGTAGCAAGGTCGCCCTGATTAGTAGGAAAACTATTTTGTTTGAGCCTCGTCTCTCCTCTTTCTTCCACTCTATCCCCCTTTTCTCTTAGACTGTCCCCTAGCACCACACTTGTCTCCAGAGCCTGCCTCCTTTCCTCCCTGGCTTCTGCGTGAACTCGGGGGCAGGAAGGGCTGGTCTTGGGAATAAAAGCTTTTGTGTTTTGGGCTCTTTCAGGGAAACCGAGGGAGGATTGGTGTCGTCATCGCGGCTTACATGCACTACAGCAACATCTCCGCCAGGTAGGTGGGACCCGAGTCTCCAGCTTCTCAACACTGTCAGCACGAGGAAAGGATGAGAGGATAGGGCAGGAAGTGAAGTAGGGGTAGGGAGCCCCCCGAAGAGTAGGTGTCTGCCCAGAGTTCCGAGGGAGGAGTCTGCTGCTAAGTGACAGAAGAGAGGAGAGACCCTTGAGAGACCCTTTGTCCATCTGAGGGCTGATGAGGGTCACCTCATGGGGCAGACCCAGCTATGGGCACCCCATCGGCCAGCTTCCTAGAACTGCTTCTCCTTGCCTGACGGACTTTGGTTTCCCTGGCTAAGCAGATAGGAGTCAGGAAGAAATGGATTCGCTCTGGGGCCAGCTTGGCCACCTAGAATCTGTCTTGTGTGTCCCTTGCCTTTGACCAGCGGGGACCTCTTTCCATTCGGGTGTTTTGGAGTAAGAATAGGAAGCCGCTAGTGATGGAGCTCATTCCTGACTCCATTCACTTTTTTCCCCTTTTAGTTTTTTTTTAAATTTTTATTTTATATTGGTTTGCAGAAGAAATTTGTACACATTGTGTTTCCCACTTTCCTTCCTTCACGTGTTTCATACAATCATACAATCATTCTCATACATTGTGTCTTTCTAAAATTGATCACCACTGAACTATGCCTACCATTACCCAGTCTTTTCAGGTCCCCCCCACCCGATCCTTCCCATTTCCTTTGCCCCCTCCCTCCACCCACCGAATTGTTTGACCCTGTGATTTCCCTCTGTCTCCATTCACTTCAGTCAGTCAACAAATGCTTCTTGAACATCTGCTGTGCCTGGCAGTGTTCTGGTGCTGCAGATCTCTAGAAAAGTGAGCAAAACCAAGCTGCTTTCCTCATGAGCATCAAAGAACTAGGCAGAAGCATAACCTAGCATTGCCTGAGATGTGTTCTGGGGAAGAATGAGCAGAGAGAAGACAGTAGGAGAAGAGGTGGCCTGGTAATCATAGGAAGGCCTCAGAAGGGGGTGATATTTAAGCAGAAGCTTGCATTAATATATGGGGATGGAGAGTACTGCGTCATATTAGTCTGGGAGATGAGACTTCCAGGTGGCGAGAAAAGGAAAGGCTGAGATCTGTCTGAGGACTGGCATGTGTGGAGGGAAAAGATGGAGGGGAAGAGCATTAGAAGGTGAAGCTGGCAGACAGTGGGAGGCAGTGCTCCTGGGGCTTTGTAGGCTTGCTAAAGATTGAAGGGTATTCTGAGAGTGATGGGAAGTCATTGGAGATGAGGGCTAGGGAGCTATTGACTCCAAGCGCTCCATGGGGAAGGAGCAAAGCTTCTGCGTGGGCCTTACAAGTAGCATGGCAATTAAGACTCTTAAGAAGCTTGGCCCAGCCTAATGATTGCTTAATGCTGAACACTTCCTGCACGCCTACTGTGTGCCAGCTGTATCTCCCTCGAGCACCATTGCAGCCTTTGAGGAAGGAGTACTTACCGCAGGAGAGGGTGCACATCACCTGTTTTGACAGGAGAGGGAAATGAAGTGCCTAAGAGATAGTCACGTCCCCAGACACATAGCTTGTGGTGTGTGGGGCATGAGACTGAATCTTGGGAACTTCAGGGATGGTTTTGAGATGGGGTTATGGGCTGTTTGGTCCAAAGCCCCCATGAGGAATGATGCACGGTGTATGATGAAGACATGTGGAAGATTGCTTCCCTGGAAACTTCTCGGTACAAGCTGGCTGAAGGAAGAAGGCTGCCCTTCCCCTGGGCATCGAGGAGGGCTCCGGAGGCCGGACGCATAGGGGTAAGGGATGAAGGACACTTGGATGTGAGAGTCTTCTCCTCTGACCACCTGTCTCTCCTTGCAGTGCAGACCAGGCTCTGGACCGGTTTGCAATGAAGCGATTCTATGAAGATAAGATTGTTCCCATTGGTCAGCCATCCCAGAGAAGGTGGGTCTCCAGGGCAAGCAGCCCAGCCTGGTGCATGTGTGGGTAGTACTTACTGCATGTGGGGGTCAGTGTATTCACAGGAAGGGCCGAGCGTGCCCAGGTGGGGTTGTGCCAGGTACAGGCATTCAGATATCAGCCTGTGGGTGTTTGTGGTAGTGTGGGCTTGGGACACGGTGAACCTGTGGACCAGTGGTATGCTCAGGCTGATTGGTATGCCATTTAGCTCCTGAGACTCATGCCAGAGGACAGCAAGGTCACTGGAAGGGGAAGAATGGTAGTTTGGAGTCGTTGGTTGATCTTTGCTTGGTAAATGTTTAGAAGACTGACATTATAGCAGCCTGTCGGGGGGGGGGGGTCAGAGAGACTCATGATAAGGGTCACCTTCTGTTGGGAGAGTTAACCAAGGGCTCTCCACTCCATGGTTTCATTGTAGCCTCACAGTAGTCCTGGAAGGAAGCAAGGCAGGAGGAATGGATGGATTCATTTGGCACATTTTAGGCCCTCTGCTGTGTTCCAGCATGTTCTGTAGAGGCAGGGATGGTGAAACTTTGTTTCACGTTCTTTGAACATGTTATCAGGAGAGACGAGTGGAAGAAGACATCATACTTAGAAAAGTGGAGGGTCAGCGAGAGAAATACCTTATATCTATCTAGAGAGAGTTGGACAATGACTAGGGAGGATAGAAGGAGAATTGATGCCTTTGAGCTGTGGTGCTGGAGAAGAGTATTGAATGTGCCATTGACTGCCAAGAAAACAAACAGATTCATCCTGGACAGGGTTAAACCAGGCTGCTCCTTGGAGGCAAGGATTCTGAGGCTCCGTCTAACATAATTTGGACATGTTGTAAGGAGGGACTGGTCCTTGGAGAAGGACATCATGCTTGGGAGGGTGGAGGGACAGCGCAGGAGGGGAAGACCCTCTATGAGGTGGATTGATTCAGTGACTGGGGTAATCGGGATGGGAGTGTCAGAGACAGTATGATTGGCACAGAACAGAGCAGAGTTTAAGGCTATTGTATGTAGGGTTGCTATGAGTCGCAAGCAACTTGATGGCACATAACAACCACATCTCTCTCTGTGTGTATATATGTGTGTGTGTTTGTATACACACACACACACACACACACACACACACACACACACACACACATATATTGACACAGACTGTAACAATGGGATGGAGCATATCAGAGATTAAGGTTGGTGAAGGATGGGGCAAGGTTCAGATCTGTTGTTCATAGGGTCGCTGTGAATCACAGGTGACTCAGTGGCACTTTATAACTAACAACAAACAGCAAAACCATGTTCAAATTTATAACGAACGACAAACAGCAACAACAATGTTGCAAGCACAGAAGATACCTACAAAACAAAACAAAGTCCTGCCTATTGAGCTGGTAATCACTGAGCTGGAGGAGCATTAACTGACTAAACGTACGAACAGGACGATTTCAGAGGGTGCTAAGTGTTATTATCAAGGAGTGGGACCAGTACGTTGCATCCTGGTGGGATGAGATGTCAGGGAATACATCTGAGAGGAAGTGAATTGGACCCCAGATTTGAATAAGGACGAGTCCCCTAAGAAGACGTAGAACATTCCATTTTACAGATGAGAAGCCTGCCTGACTCTAGAGCAGGGGTGTGGTGTGGCCAGGACACCTCACAAGTGGAATCTGCCTGAAGACCTTGGAACTCTGGGGTCTCCACTGTTTCCTGGGCTTTGCCATTCACTGCCCCACTGTTCCGTGGGTGACATGTGTAATGGGGCCACATCCATGGGAAAGTGGGGGGCTGTTAGCAGGATTGGGTTTTCCTTGGGGAATGCAGCTGAGAAATGAGAGCCTGGGTTTGGGAATCTCAAACCCCAGCGGGAGGACTAGGAAGTAGGACATGGGTCCCTCTCCTGTTGTGGCTAGGATTTGTGGACCTGCCATCCTCCTGCTCTGCTGTGTCTGTACTGTGTAACGCTCAGAGGACATGTTACTGAGCTTCTCAGACAAGGAAGATCCCATGGAGCTTAGTGACTAATGGGGGGATTGGATAATAATCAAGTCCACATAAATGAAGACCATTTCAGAAAGTTCTCAGTACCTTCCAGGGAAAAAAGAAACAAACAATGGAGAAATGGAGCTAGAAAGTGAGAGGAGTGGGAGCTGGGTTCTGACCTTTCTGGGAAGGTGACATGAGGTGAGAGCTGAAAGGGAGAAGGTTACATCCAAGGGAAGGTCTGAGATGAAGGATTCTGGAAGAGGAGACAGTAAAGGGCAAAGGCCAAGAGGCCACAAATGCCCGTTTACTTCTTGACCAGCAGTGGCAGCAGCAGCATCTCTGTGAGCCCTGAAGCACTAAGTGGGCAGGAAGGACTCCATGGCTACATCGACTTACATCTTCCCAGCCTCTTTTTGCGGAAGCCCTTCAACATAGACCCTATTCCTTCCTTTCCTATTTGGCTGGTTAGGCGTGTGCTGGCACAGCTAGGGGCTACTTTAGCCATTGTAGTGGGAAGTCCAAGAAAACAAAAAAGAGCATCCTGAAAATTTAAAATTGGCCCAAGACGGCTGGTGACCTGCCTCTGGAATGGTTATACTTAGGTCCAGAAAATCGTGGCTAGATCCAAAGACTCAGCAGCTGTGAATCAAGACGTTTTCTCCAGGGCTTCCAAGAGGTTCTTCCTGGTTTAGCTATGACTAATGAGGTGAAACCAGAATGTAACCAAATTTGTACAGATGTAGCAAAGCAGTAATCATAATGGGAAAAATTGAGTCACTCTCTTAGAAATGGAGTCTCTTCATAGAAGACAGGGGAAATGCATACATTGCATAGTAACCAAACCTCTTGGACAGGGAGAGTAGAAAACAGCAGTGCCCTGCTCAGAGGTGACCACCTTGAATGTGTGTGTGTATTTATAGCACTTTTAAGTATTGGCAGTAGTCCAGTTTTGGGCATCAGGCTTCTGAAAGGGCTCATTATACCTCTTCTAGTGGCCCATTCTAGTGCTTTAAACATTATTTTTTACTGCTCTAATTATTAGTCCCATATTCTCAAGTTCTAACAAAATGAAGGATATTCTGAGTTTGCTGTTGTCTCCCATGACTTGACGGCACACAACAACAACCATGACTGAAATTGTTCAAATTAGTTCAAAGTCCCAGTTATCCAAGGATAGAAGTTTCAGTTGGGAGCAGGGAACCCAACTATTGGTCAAATACTGGCAACTCAGACCATGTTGGTGTGTACCATCAAGTTAGAACCAACTTGTACTTGACCCTCCACTAGGTTTTCAGAGGCAGTAAATCACCTGGGTGGAGATTGCCCATCTTTCTCCCATGGAGGAACCAGTGAATTTGAACCACTTGTCTTTGGTTGGCAGTGCAACTTCTTACCAAACCACCCGAGCTCCCTCCTCAGACCACAGCTTGCCACATAGAGCTTGTGGTCTTGAGCATGGATGTGGCCCTTGACCTTGAAGGAAAAGGGATGCAAATTGAGTAGTATGCCATTACCACCACACTCTGTGGCTTGGAGAGGATGGGCAGAGCAATCCCATCTCTGGAGCCCCACAGTGGAAGTCTGGATACTAAGGATCAAGGTTATCTCTTGGGAATAGCTTTATGCTTGGAATATGCTTACAAAACAGGCAGTGGCATGTGAATATTTATATCATCTGTGCCGACCTTGCAGATCTTATCTGCAACTTCAGCTGCTTATGGGTGGGTAGTTCCATCTGTGGCCAGATGTGAAAGCACAACTGTTCATTTTGCATTCGCTGCACTTTCCCGCCTTGTCTTCTTTGTTGCCTGCAGAGGATGGGGCAGTCAGAGGAGAGGTGGTGGGAGGGACTTTGCTTGCAGCACCCCCATTCATTGTCACCCCACCCCTGGACTCATTGTCCCCAGCACACAGACACATCCTGTTGGCACGATCAGGGGATCTGATAGAAATTCTGCCATTCCAGGTTTCCGGTTTGAGAAACAGGGCTGGAGGCTGGACAGGAGCCTGAATAGGGGCTAGTGGTGCCCATCAGATTATCTCACTTGAGTAGTCCAAGGTGGCCCCACCCAGGCTGGGGGACAGTGGATTTCAGGGCTGGAGGTGGGCCAAGGAGACAAGAGGCAGGAAGGGAACTTTGTCATGGTCACATGAGTTCTGGTCCCACCTACCTCAAAGAGTTCCTATTGACGCCTGCGTAGTTTCAGGATACATTCTGATTGGTGTAGTTGACTCCATTTGGCATTCTGTGACCAATCAGAAAAGGTAGGGGTGTCAGCCAACCAATAGCAAATGAGTGGAGTTCTAGGCTCCTTTCCTCCCTCTCCACCCACTCCCAGGTTTGCATGTGTTTCTTGTGTGGCCAGCAACCCTTACTTGACCTAATTTTCTATCTAAAAATGGAGGTGGGTTAATCCGTGCCTTTTTCCAATAGAAAGAGTTGGGGCACGTTGGACCTTGAGAAGAATTAAAATACTCACAAAACCAAATAGTGGAATTTGATGTACTTTATTTAGAATGAAATGAAAAAAAAAAAAAAAAGAATTATGCTTACTGCGCTCATTTTCACTATCTGTAGGACTTTGATGAAGCTGGTGACCTTGTGGTTATATCAGAGCCTGCAAATGTTAATGCAAACTTATTTTGGGTTTGATCTAAGGCTGTGAGAGCTGTTTCATCAACCTGCCTTGTGCAAGTGGGGGCACAGCTAAATGACACCTGCCGGGAACATGTAAAAGGATTTTAGTGCAAAGTGAGATTCTTGGGCTGCGTGAAGTACGAAAGAAATGTGCATATTCACCACCAGGGGGTGCTGGAGATCCCCAAGTGGGATGCCACACTAGCTTCCAGGTGGAGAAGTACTTGCTAGCTCTTCTACCTGGGGCTGCAGATAGCCTGGTTAGACAAGGTTTCTCAGTTCTTGAGTCCCCAGAGAAGGAATCACAGCATGCCACAACTGATGGAGTTTCCTGTGCCAACTGAGACTTATAGCGCCTGCGTCTCTTTGTCCCTTTTAGGCAGTTTCCATAGCATAGTCTGTAGGGACTTGCACTGCTCACCTAAAGGCCATGCCAGTCTGGCAGTTGGTATTCATCACTGGCTCCAGGGGCCATCTCCTCCTGTGTGATTTACAGCCATTCGAAATGCGCTGTGTGCTGAGTCAGCTATGAATTGGTTCTGACTCGAGGGTGGTGAGGCATGTTTGAGAGATTCTTCCTGGTGCTCAGCCCTTGTCGGTACCACTCTGGCCCATTTGTTTAGACCCTAAAGCCAGTGGCTGTGGAGTTGATTCTGACTCATGGGGACCGCACGTGTGTGCAGAACTGGGCTCTATGGGGTTGTCAGTGGCTGATGTTTCAGAGGCAGATGGCCAGACTTTTATTTCAAGATACCTTTGAGTGGACTCAAACTTCCAGCCTTTTGATTATCAGCCTAAGAAGTTAACCATTTGCAGTGCCCAGGTTCTCTGAGGAGTATTGGGTGGGGAGAAGCCTTAGCTCTTGGAGACTGAAGCCCTGGCATTCTGGGCCTGCCAGGAGCAGCCATCCTGCTCTCGCCTCCCAGAAGTTTGCCTGGGGCTGCTGCTTCCGCCAGGGTCTACTGGTGGTGGTGGTGGGGTCTTCCTCACTGGGCCGCCCTTCTTGCTGTAGGTATGTGCATTACTTCAGCGGCCTCCTCTCCGGCTCCATAAAAATGAACAACAAGCCCTTGTTCTTGCATCACGTGATCATGCACGGCATCCCCAACTTCGAGTCTAAAGGAGGTACCTTCTCAAGCCCTCAGATTTCCCTTCCCCTCTGCCTCCTTCAAGCTGCTTCTCTTCCAAGGCTGATAGGGGAGGTAAAAAGTCTGTCAGCTGTAGTGTCCTGAGACTCTGAGGGATATACCCCAGTGGCTAAGAAAACCCCGAGCTCTCTTTGAGCCCCAGTCTGTCCATCTGCAGAATGGGGTTGCTTGACCATGCCTGCTGCAGCTGGAGTGCATGTTGTGATATAGCAGCATTTGCTAAAAGAAAAGGCCTATGAATGAAGACTTGGTGTTCCTTCCCCTTTACTGGCCCGTCGTATCCGCGCTTCCTCTTCCCCTTCCAGCCTCTTTCCCATGCTTTTTCCTCTTCCTCCTCTCCCCCTTCTGTCTCCCCTTTTCCCCCCTTCCTAGCTAACATCCCCTTCCTGGCTGACACCTATCTCTCCCTTACAGGGTGTCGACCATTTCTCCGGATCTACCAAGCCATGCAACCCGTTTACACATCGGGCATCTAGTAGGTATTCCATGGGAACTAGAGGCCAGGGATGCCCAGTGCCCCAGCTGAGGACCAGGGGATGGTGGTACCCAGGAGTTGGCATCAGCTGAACTCTCGTGCAGAGAGAATTGGAGGGATGAAGTCAGTGAGGATTCTCAGTAGGCTCTCTGGGACAGGAAATGTGCTTCCTGTCCCCCCCCTCACTGGCCTTTCTCCCTGTGCCCACCTGTCTCCCCAGCAACGTCCAAGGAGACAGCCAGACCAGCATCTGCATCACCATCGAGCCTGGACTGCTCTTGAAGGGTGACATCTTGGTGAGTGCTGCCCCTGTGACTCAGAACTCATTTTCACTTGGGTTTTTTTTCACTTCTTTCTTTCCTCTTCCGGCCCTCTTACCGCCTTCATGTCTCTCCAGGCACCTTGGTGGGCTGCTAGCCTTAGAGGCATAGGCCCTCAGGGTTCCTGCAAGGTCTTCCAGCCTCAGATGATCTACTGTCCATTCCTCCACCTCTGAGTTGGGCATTCCTTCTTCTGTGTTTGTCTCTTGTTCTGGAACATCTCTGAGGAACTCTCTCAGCATAAGCTGGTTACCTTCTGGCATCTTACGGATGACAAGGAGTTCCTAATTTCTGTTGCCTGTCCTTACTGCTGCAATTTAAATGTTTTTTTAAAAAAGCAGGAGTTTTTGGGGAGGACAGAGCAAGACTTGCTTCTAGCTCTCTGCTCTTCACAAAGTTCCTTCAGAGAGTTCTCCTGTATAGTTCTGGTGACCCTTCCTTCACTGTGTGTGGGGTGAGCCTGGGGGAACCTAGTGAGGGGTGCCAAGAAAGAGGACCCCTAGGATCTGATTTCCCTTCCTCGGATCCCTGATTATCTCTCCTTTCCTTCCCACCCAGCTGAAGTGTTACCACAAGAAGTTCCGGAGCCCAGCGCGTGACGTCATCTTCCGCGTGCAGTTCCACACCTGCGCCATCCATGACTTAGGGCTTGTCTTTGGGAAGGAAGACCTTGATGATGCCTTCAAAGGTGAGCTCTTTGTGTGGGCTCTCGGTGGGGCTCCTGTGCCAGGAAGGGGAGCCCAGCTTGAGAGCATATGCTGGGCACAGAGGCCATTGTTAATGAGCCATATGGTCTGCCAAATCGCATGGTATTTTTGGTGCCAGGGGGAGGGAATATTCGAGATTGGAGTGGTCTGAGAATTCAGATCGTCAGTGAAAATAAAGAAGGTGCTTACTCTTCTCCCAACCACCAGACGGTTTTATCTCTTACAACCTTTTCTTCTTCTTTTATTTCCTTCATCTTGTTCTTCTCATTTAGTCCATGTGTCCTGTTGACAAGCATTTCTTTTCAACATTTATTGACATTTACCTTGTATGCGGCATTATAGTAAGTGTAGGGATTGAGGAAACCTCCATGCTTTGTCTCTGCCAAGGAGACTGGTGTAGCAGTAGATAATTATCCCATGACACAGTGAGAACAACAGGGGAGGCTCAGATGGTTAAGTGCTTGGCTGGTAGCTAAAAGGTTGATGGTTCAAATCCACCCAGAGATACCTTGGAAGAAAGACCTGGAAATCTATTTCTGAAAGTTTATAACCATTGCAAGCTCTGTGGAGCAGTTCTGCTCTCACTCCTGGAATCACTATGAGTTGGAGAAACTTGACAACAAGTAAGAGCTCTGGTGGCCTAGTGGTAAGGAGCTGAGCTACCAACCTGAGCACTCATGGTTCAAAACCATCAGTTGTTCTGCAGGAGTAAAGATGGGCAGTCTCTTCCTATGTAGTTAATTTCCTCTGAAAACTTGCTGAGGGTCAGCTATGAGTCGGTTCTCACTCGATGATACATAACAAGAAGAACTATGGTTGATAGGGCAACTGTGAGGGGAGAACCATTTTCCAAAAGAGGGAGGTAGTCGGGGAAGGCTTGGTGTCTCTCTTGTATCCATTTGAGGTTTTAGCTGTACCACACTTAGGCATAGAGTGTATTCCTATCCATCCATCCATCCATCCACCCACCCACCACCTACCTACTCATTTAACATCTAGCCATCTGTCTATCCTTCCATCCATCCAATAATCACCCTGTCCATGTCTATATTCAATTGGTATGTGCTTGGCCCTGGAGATATAGAGAGAAAGAGAATCAGATCCTGTCTTCAAGGAGCTCAGTCTCTTAGGAAGAAGAAATACGCAAATATGAGTCTGTGAAATAGTAAGGGAATGGATAGAGACGTGCACAAGTCCCATGGTGCTCCAAGGCAGGCACACAGCTAACCATGAGTGGATAGTACCCTCTTCCTACACAGAGCTGGGGAGCAGAGAACAGAGACTAGAACTCAGGCCTCAGAAGAGGGGACATTATCCCTTCAAGTGTTGTCATGCAGGAGAAAGAGGTCTCTCGAGATGGGCTTTACTTACATGACAGCCAGAATGGGAACCCAGAGGGAAAAGGGAAGTAAACTGACAAAATAGGAGTGAGTTGGGCTCAGTTAGGAGGAAGTGAAGGATCGAATTTCCTCGAAGTGACAGTGATTGCAGCAGTGGCTTGACCACGGTGGTTTAAATAGTGAGAATGGTGCAAGGTAGGACAGGGTTTCCAGCAGTTATTCTTAGGTTTGCTGTGAGCTGTACTCAGCTCGATGGCACGTAACACTAACAACAAGGTGGGAATCAAGAGATGCCATCTACAACAGACAGGTCAACAATGAGAGACTTGACTGTAGTATTTAAAGTCTTGAGCAATAGACAAATATAAATAATTGATAGTAAAACTAACCAGATTTAAGAAGAAAGGAAATGGTAATATACAAAAAACCCCCAAACAACCCACCAAAAAAACCCCCCCTCCTTGCCACTGAGTTAGAAACAACAACTAGCTGACCCTCCAGCGGGCTTCCGAAGCTGTAAATCACATGGGAAGAGAGTGCCCATCTTTCTCCCTGGGAGCCACTGATCGATCTGAAAGTACTGGAAAGGCCTGACCTTTGAATTAGTAGCTCAGATCCTTACTAACTATGCACCAGAGCTCTAGAAGGAGTGATGTTGTTATTGCTGTTGTTGTTATGTGCTGTCAAGTCAACTACGACTCATAGCGACCTTATGCACAATAGCTCTGAATCCTGCCCTTTTCTGAGCCAGGCTCACTGTCTCTGACACCCCCATCCCCATTACCCCAGTTACTGAGTCAGTCCATCTCATCCGGGGGTCTTTCCTGCACTGGACCTCTGCCTTTCCAAGCATGATGTCCTTCTCCAAGGACTGGTCCCTCCTAGCAACATGTCCAAAATATGTCAGATGGCAGCAAATAAGTAAAAACTATTGAAAATTAATATATCTAGAAATAAGGCATGAAGATATTATTTAAGAGTCTTAGAGGTAACTGCTGGTAGTATGAAGAGTAGAAATTACTAAAACTGGTCATTTCAGACAAGGAGGAATTGAGCTAGGGTGGAAAGAATACATAATAATAGTAATAGTGGTAATTATCACATTCAAAGAAAATACTGCTGAAGATTGTTCAAGAATGGCTATTGCAGTCCATAGGTAGGAAACTCTGCCAGGAGTTCAAGCAGGATTTAGAAGAGGCCGTGGCACCAGGGATATCATTGCTGATGTCAGATGGATCCTGGCTGAAAGTAACGAAGTTGCTGGCGACCATTTTTGTAAAAATACTAAGAACATCCTACGGAGCAGTTCATCTCCTAACATAAGCCTTTGCCATGAGTCAGTATTGGCTTGATGGCAATGGGTTGGGTTTGATGATACACATATTACTGTAATTTTTTCCCTAAAAGAAAACTGTTTATGTGGTCTCATTGGGGAATGAATTCCCTGTTTGGTTTTCTTTTCTTTCAGATGATCGGTTTCCAGAATATGGCAAAGTGGAGTTTGTCTTTTCTTACGGACCAGAGAAAATTCAAGGTATAAGCTTGCATCTGTTGTCCTGGCCCGTTCCCTCTGTTCTGACATGCGTCCACCCCAGTCCAGCCATTATCCCACTTAAATAGTCTACGTTTGTCAAGTTAGCTGGGACTGTGGGGCTGAACATCTGATTTTCAGAGTGGTCCCCCAGCTAAACCAAAATCTGTGACTTAATCACTAGATAATAAAAATAAAAAAGCAGACAGAGAGGCGCTGTGCTGGATAAAGTGTCTTGGTCCCATTAGGTCATCATCCTGTTCTATTCCGAGACGGAAGTTATGGTGATAGAGGGAGTGGCCGGGGGGGACTCTTGAAGGTGCCTGAGTATTTATGAGAACTGAGGTGTTCCAACCTGAAGACAAGAAGCCACTTTAATAATAGCCTTTCAATTTCTAGACTGTTATATGTGGAGACCAGTTGTTGCCCGTCTCATTTAAGGACAGAATGGGAGGAAATGAAGTTAGGTTATAGGCTGAGGGCCGCTGGATAGATTACAGAGAAGACTGCCAGACCAGGGTGGCCACTCGACTTGGAAGGCCTGGTTTGCAGTGTGTGCTGTCTTCATTCCTGGGCTTCCTCTGGCTGGATAATAGAGACCCCTCCTGTCCCCTTCAATTTCTGAGTAGTGTGAAGGGCATCTTACGTGGAGGGTGAGGGACGTACCTCCTAGATATGTAGTGTCCTCTCTGAGTTAGAACTGTGACTGCTCTGCTATTCCTGACCCCATGCAAGTCTATCCCACACACCTTCCCCTGACTCTTGGAACTGACTCTCCAGGCTCTCCTGGCACTGCCCGATGCCCCCACCCCATACCTTGAAGAGTAAGGGGCAGCTATTTTGCCAGAGGGTCCTCCCACCTCTGTCCTCAGGGGTCTCTGGTCTCTGAGACCTGGTGTGAGCCTGATTTACCCCTCTGACCTGGTGTGAGCCTTTGCAAGAATGCAGGAAACCAGACTCTTGAATTCTCTGTCCAACTTAAACTGCTTCCCCCAACCCCTGCCCCCCTTGCTCAAGAAAATGAGAAGTCCCTGCGGAGCGTCCCTGGGGGAGCGGGCTGGCTGTCTCTGGTCTTCGAGTCGGTGACCTTGTTTTCCTCCTCCTCCTGTTGGCTCAGGCATGGAGCATCTGGAGAATGGGCCGAGTGTGTCTGTGGACTACAACACCTCCGACCCCCTCATCCGTTGGGACTCCTACGATAACTTCAGTGGGCATCGAGAGGATGGCATGGAGGGTAGGTGGGGGCAGTGGCCCCTGGTCCTTGCTCACGTGGCCTCATCTCTTTTCTTTCTCCGATACCACACTGGTCAGAGGGGAGGCAGAGGTGGGAGCCCAGAGCGGGTGAAGCGGAGAAATTCAGGCATCTCTGAAAAACATCATCTTCAAAACTTTGGTTTTGAAACTCAAACATACACATACACTAAATAATGAGACAGGTTTATAATCCAGTCAACAGCCCAAACAAAAAAGGGTGTCACAGGAGTGCACCAGGGGTGCTAGGTGAGTCCCACGCAATGGGTGCTCTGAGATCATTGGGGGAAAGATTCTTGAGAGCTGGAGTAGCCCAGAGGACTCTTTGGAGGAGGTGGCCTTGAGGGGAACTTAAAAGATACTACTGGTTTTAGAGATACCCCAGTGCCATCAGCCCAGCGTTGACCTATAGGCTCTTAACAACCCCCGCAAGTACTTGTGTTTTGGAAACAAGCTGGTAGGCTCCTGAATTTGAAAAGAAAGCTGCAGACTTGTAGTGAATACATGTTTAGTTTAGTTATGAATCCTCCTATTTTGCCGTTTGATTGACAGCACCTCAAGCCTGGGAGAGTCGACTGTGAGTTCTGCTTAATTTTATGGTGCTTGAGAATGTGTGTGCTGGGTGGATCTTCAGAAAGTGACATGACTGGAGCTCTGGAAGGTCCTCAGACATGCTGTCTGGAGCTTGGAAATAGGCTTGTTTTCTGGGTGGGGTTGTAGGATGGAGGAATGTTAGGAGTTGGAAGTGGCCAGCCAGTGTCTGTCCAGCCTCCTTTCATTGAGACATTTGGAAGAGGATATCCTGGTTCACCTTTGCCACGTGGGGTGGGTGGCCGCTGGAACCCAGCCTCTGGGCTGCCTTTCCCGGCTGAAGCTAGCGCTGAAGTAGGATCACATCTCAGAGACACATGACCACAAAGCAGAGCTGGGTCCGAGAGAAGCCTGTTCCTTTTCCTCAACACCACCTTGCCTCCTGCTTCCCTCTCCGAGGCTTTGTATTTGCCAGCATCCTTCTGAAAATCTACTAGGCCTGTTCTAAAGTTCCTTCCTTTGACCTTGACCTCAGAGACACTAGAAAGAGCAGTGGAATTGAGAGAGAAACAGAAGTAAAAGGTAGTCTTAACATCCAGGGACTTGAGGGAAGGAAGATGCATCCTTGCAAAGCTACTGGTCTGTCCTCTTACTTTCCTGCCTCATCACCCCCGTCACTTCTCGGTAACCTCTCTCCTCCCCCAGGGGCCCAGTGCCCTCAGATGCCCCCACCAGGTTCTCCCTACCAGAGAGGCTGCCCTCGGAAGCTCTCCCCTTCCTCCCCCACCCGCCTCGTGTGCTGAGTGGCTGAGGAGAAAGCAGCTGATGAAATGATTAGTTCTGAGGTACCAGTGGCTGCCAGCCCAGTCGTTCATGGTCCCGGGATGTTTGCATTTTTAAAAGAACACTTGGCAATTTGAAGGAATTTTCAATGTCTCCCCATCTCTCGCTGGTGAGAATTCAGTGCGATGATAAATGTAAAAACATTTGGGGAACTAACAAGTGCCAGGCAGATAAAAGGTAAAATAATTAAGGAGCAGGAAGAAGTGGATGTGGGAACACAGACTTGGGGTGGAGTTAACTGTGAGACGAGGAAGGAGAGCCGGCAGCCTGAGTGAGAGAGGAAGGGGCTGGGCGAGGACCTGGGCGCTGCCCACCCCGTCCCCGTCCCTCAGCTCCGATTGCTCCCCCAGGCAGGGGATGGAATCTCGGAGACCTTTTGGCCAGTTAAAGGTCAGCTCGTCCGACAGGGACAGAGGGGCTGCTGTGTGGAGGCTGAGAGGCTGGCCCTGTGCCTGGAGGGTGGGAGGGGAGGCTGAAAGGCAGCTTCTGGCTCTGCCATCCATTTCTCTGCCTGACTGGGCTCTGCCTGGGCCCAGGAGCTCTGCAACTGGACAGTCACCAGGGATGACCCCGCTTCTGAGCCTCCGTGAGCTCCCTGTGATGACCAGCTCTGGGGCAGGAGGCCTTGGTGGGTGCAGCAGGACCAATGACCAGTATTCCAAATCTGCATCTCCTCTCAGCTCAGCTATTTCTGGAAGATTCTGGAGTCTAGAGGTAAACAAACAAACAAAAAAAAACAACAAACACCAAACCACAAAAAAACCCCAACAACCCCCAAACAAAAAAAACACCAACATTTTCCTCTGGTTAATTCTTTGGTTGAGAGGAATCTGACTCCTTGTATCTATCTTCCTAGTGGTAGACAAGTCCCCCATGCCGCAGTTTCTCTATGTGTTGGTGGGGTAAGGGCATTTGGCAAACTAATCCCCAGTTCTCTACGTTTTTCAGGAGGTAGTTGATATTGGAGCGGAGAGAGGGATCTGGCATTTCCTGGAGTGGACCAAGGGCTGAGATGGAGGCCTGGGGAGGCAGGGTAGTACTCAAAGCAGCTTTACCTGCTCTCTGCAGAGATCTGGAACCAGGAAAGGCAAAGTCATCTTGAGACATTATAGTTCAGTGGTTAAACAGTTACGTTTTACAGCTGTTCTGCATATGTTCAAATCCCAGGTCTTCTGCTAAACCATTTAGCCTTTCTGTGTCTCGGTCTTACGTTGACTATCTAGTTAATTGGCTTTTTGTAGCTTTTTGAGGGGTTTGTTTTTGCAGTTTTGTTTTTGTGAAATGGTAAAGAATGTTGCCCCATGGCTGTGTACTGTTAATTCTGATGCATAGTGACCGTACAGGACACAGTCATTGCTGTTGTTGTTGTGTATCATCAAGTCCGAACCAACCCATAACTGACCCTCCAGTGGGTTTTCACGGGCTGTTAATTGCATAGGAGGAGATTGCATCCTTGCCCCGCGGAGCAGCTGGTGGATTTGAACCACGTGCCTTTGGTATTGCAGCACAGCTTCTTGCCACTAGGCCACCAGAGCTCCCTGTAGAATTTCCTGTGCTGCTGTCCTCATGACAGCAGATTTCTAGAACTTCTCTCCTTCAGTGTCTGTGGGTTCAAAGTGCTGACTGCTTAACCATTGCTCCACCAAGTTTTACTGGAGCCAGACTATATGGATTCAAATCCTAGCCTTTGTTAACTGTCTTTAGGCAAAACAGGACCCTCTTTGGGTTTGGCTCTCTCTGCTGTTCAATGGGGACTCACATCTTTTGGAGCCACTTGTGGGGAGTCAGAGAGGAACTCTTGTTTCCTGGTGAGTCTGTGGTATCAGTAGTCACCAGAGTCTTTAACTCCGTTCACCACCTCATCTGACCCCTCTTTTATGCAGCACAGGTAGAACAGGTACCTTAACCTTGGGGCTCAGCCCTGAACTGACCATGCCAAGAACTTGATAGACAGACGCGTGTTCAATGCTCACCGCCATCCTGTAAGGTAGACATTATGAACAGTCCCAGAGGGGGAAGCTGGGGCACAGAGCTGTCAAGTTAGGATAGAACAGAGCTGAGTGTGAAGCCATAGCATTGAGCACTGTGCCACCCTGGGCTGCCAGCATCCCAGGCCCCTGACCTCATGGTGTCATCTGGGTGGATGTCTGCCTCTCTCGACTGCCCTCCTCTCCCCTCTGTGAGATGAGATTCCCACCTGCCTTGTCTCTCTATATGAGGGGGGCTTAGACAAAGGGGTGCATGTAGTGTAGGACCCTGGGAGACCACTAGCCTCGCCCTGTGGCAGATACTTAGTGGACAGCTGAGGTCAGCACCCCTTCCCCACCCCTGTCCCATGCAGGAGAGGTGGGGCCATTTGTCTGGGAATATCTCTGGTGCGAGTCACTGCTCAGAATAGGTCATGTGTCCAAGGAGGGAAAGATGTGTCCGGAAGTGGCTCACCTCTTCTGTTTCAGGCCAGGAATCCCCTTGGTGAGTCAAGGCGGGCAGGAGGTGCCGAGACTCAGGCTCAGGCTCTCTGGGCTGCTCTGGCCTGTGTCCTCTTCAGCAACCAGTCACAGGCATGAGCACTGGGGTCAGAGCTGCTGGTCCCTGGGAAGCCCTCAGGTGACCCTGACTTAACCATCACTCTTGGGAGCTGCTCTGTCTTTAACGTCTTCTTAGCTGCCTGCTATATCTCACCTCCCCGCTTTCAGATTTAAGGTGTGTGGCATTGCGATGCTTACAGCACTGTGTCACTCTTTCAGGACACCCTAGGACCATCTCAGCTGCAAAATAAAGAAAGAAAAATCCATCCGGGGATTTCTGGTTATTCACAAGCAGACCTCACAGCCTGGGGTGGTCCAAACCGGTGATCCATGACGTCTAAATTGGTGCAGGCCTCATGGGTGTCAGACCAGAACTGTGAGCCGTAGAGTTCTCAGTGGAGGATTGTTTTGGGAAGTTTTCTTCCGAGACACGTCTGGGTGGGCTCAAACTTGCAAACTTCGGGCCAGCCATAAATCCTCCCTAATGTTCTTCTTCCTCAATGAAAAAACTGATACCCAGCATGGAAAGGGACTTGCCAGAGGAGAGGAAAACCCTGCGTATGAGGCTACATCAGCTCATGTGCCAGCCTTATTTTGTGGATGTTGTGTGTTGTGTACTGTTGAGTCAGAACCGACCCATAGCAGTAATCTCACTGGAAGAGATTGCCCTGTGGAGCACTGGTGGCCTCGAACCATGTGCCTTTGGGATTTACAGCATAGCTTCTTGCCACTAGGCCACTAGTGCTCCTGAACTATGGAGATGTTAGCAGTCTTACTCCAGGTCATGCTGTAAAGAATTGAGTTGGTGTTTTGAACTCTATCTGATTGCAAATCCCTCCATACTTCCCTTGGAGATCACTTCCTTTAGCCTCTTCCACATCCTTAATTCAGGTGACCTCTTTTGGGAGAATTACCCAGCTTCTCCTAAAGGCTTGATGGTGACTGGGAGTGGCCTGACCACAGAAAACAGCCCACTTCACTGTTGGATGGGTCCAGGGAGCAGGACCTTGGGAAAGGGAGAAGGGCCCATCATGCCTCCGCATGATCAGTGCAGTGCTTGGGGAACGCCATGTCTAATCTG